CTAGTAGCATAATTAGCTTGTTGCCAACTTCATGTGGGCCTATAGGGTCGCACACAAGAATAACCCAACTTGAGCTATAATGTCCAAGTTTATTAAATCTAAAATGTGTCTAGATTCAATGAATGTAATGCTTTTCTAGGATAAACAAATTATATATATATATATATATTTCAATATTTATTTGATTTATATATTTTTATGAAACATAAAATTCAAAATATAATTATATACATATATATTTTTTTGAAATATATATTCATGTTTATATATATATTTGCATGTATATATATATGATATATGAAATTAAATATATATATATATATAACATAATATACATATATTTTCAAAATATATGTATATATATACATGTGGATATATATAATATGATTTGTATATGTATTATGTTATATTATATTATATTATGTTATGTTATTTTATGTTACTTTCAAATTTAATTTTATGTGATACATTAAATTTAAATAACTAACATGATATAAGAGAATATCATATTAGTTATATAATTTAAATTTATGATATAAATTTAAATTAGCTATAATATCATAGATTAAATTTATGAAATAAATTTAATTTAATTTTTGTGCGCTCTTCAAGTAGAAGGTAAAAACTCTAGTCTATATATTATATATAAATAAGGACATGCTTCATATATGTATAAGAGTCAAAAAATTGCTGATGGTAAAACACAGTAAGAGCCATGAAAACACTCAAAAGAAAAGTGTCATTTGAGCACTAGCATGCCATTTAAGTTGAAAGCTGTCCATGAAAACACTCAAAACATTTGTTACCCACTTTTATTTGTCAATTAGGACCCTTTTATTAATGATTTATCATCTTCAAGTGCACACATTGCATTAGATTTGAAATTTTGCCTCAGTTTCTAGGTTTAGTACCCTAGGGACATTTTGGTCCAGGAAATAAACTTTTGAGAAAATGTACAAGAAAAATTGATAAGTGAATTTTATGTCTAGTTGATGACTCATGAAATTTGATTTTTAAAATTTATTTTAACTTGGGAGTAATTAAATAAAAAAGTTAACAATTTCTTAAGTGCCTTAGTTTGACCTAGTTTTTGGGTTATCTTTGTGTGAAAATTTTTATATAATTTTGTACAACCTAGAACTTAGTTATTTTAATAAATTCTCCCTTATAGTTATGAATTTAATTCTGGACATTAATTGAATTTTATTATGTGACATGATATTTAATTGAATTATGTGATTTATGTGACATAGGTGGCATATGACTTATGCATCAATTAGGCAATTGAGGCCAACACTTCTTAATGTCAATCATTGAGAATTTTCACGTAATTTATGATATTTTTGGGAGACTAAATCAGCTTGAAATGTGGATGACACATGAAAAATTAGGCACACATTAGAATCATCTACAAATCAATAAGAAGGTGTCACCTTGCAAGTGTGACAAGGCTTCCATTTTCTTTTTATTTTCTTTTGACATTTTTTAATTGAATATTCAGCTGAAGGGAAATGCTAGATGCATGTCCATTCAGCCTCAAAATCAGATTCATTCACCCATTCAGTCATCTTCCATATTTTCTCTCTCTTGTTCAAAGTGTTCTTCAATTTCTCTCTTTTGTTCTTCATTTTCTAGCAACCTAACCTTCATTTTCAGCTATAAAACCTCCACAAAACTCACACCATTCTTCTTCTCTCCTCAATTTCATCCTAACTCTTCCATTTTCTCAAGAATTAAAGCTCATTTCCATCATTCAAGAGCATTGGAATTTAGCCTTCATAAGCAATCACTAGGGTTCTTGAATATGATGAAAATTGGCTAATTTCTTTGGTGGAATCCTAGAGAGATGAAGATGGAGGATGAGTCTTGAGCTTCAAATTGGCTAAATTCTTTTATTTCCTATCCTCTTCTCTTTTTACTGGATGGTTATATTCCTTAATCCAGGGTTTAATCATCTTAGTTTGTAAATAATTTGAATTTGATGTTGATGTAAAGAAAGAAGATTGTTTCATTTAATTTCTTCCATAAACAGCCATGATTGAATTTTTCCACTCTTTGTTTGGCACATAATCTTGTGTTTTAAAATTAGTGAATTACTTGTGTTAATATTGCATAATCTTATGGTGTTAATACTTGTGTTGTTGAGTAGCTTGACATAATCTTGTGGTTACTCAATTTATATGTTTGACCATGGCTATTAAGGGAGGATTTTGAGTGAATGACTTGGCTAATTTCTTCATCAATTAGTTAATTAAATTAGGGACGTTAATTAAAGACCTAGGGAGGTTAGCTAGTTAAGTTAATTGGCTTAGGATAATTTTCTTAAATTACCACAGCTTTAGTCAAGAGGAAAGAGAAGCTAAACTTAGCCTAATAAAATCAGTCCAAAATCAACTAATCTCTAGGGTTCCACTCTTGTGAGAAGGGAAGTTTATTTTACTTACTTTCACTAATATTTTAATTACTTGCACATTAGGTAATTCGTTTAGATAATTAGCTAGGTAACTAAAATTCCTATAAACTTTGGTTGATTTATTTCACTAGATAACTTTAAATTAGATTTAAAACCCTTCCTTGGGAGATGACCTAAGGTTGGCCCTATATTGCATTAGGGTTATCTTTCATTTAATTTTGAGAATAAGCGACTAATTCCTATCAGTTGTCAGCTCTTGAGATCTAATTTCTTAAAGACAAGACATGAATAGCTCACACATTAAAAGGTGCTTATTTTATACACTTTGACTTAAATGAGTTTGTTCAGTCTATATCAAGATAGGGATTTTAAAGTTTTAATCGTCTTTTGTGCCTCCTTATCTAACATGTGCATAATATCTTCCTTATAGTTTAGGCATGTTTACTTCTAACGCACAACCAAATAAAGGTTTTGTTTTACTGGGGCACTTGCACTTTCCACACTTTCCTCCATAAGCTTTTACCTAAATTGCCACTATTAGGATTGAGACTTTTATAAGCAAATTTTATATTAAACTCTCCATCATTTGACCACCTCCATCTTGGATTATCATCTTTGTGATTGCTTTTAATAAAATAGATTTCTTTAAGCATACCCTTAAGTAAGTACTCATCAAATTTATCTCTAACCCATCATCCACAAGATGATAAGTAGTTTTCTACTAACTCATAACATATCTCCTCTAATACCTATTTAATAGTATAAGTCAACAAATTGTCATGGTAAGGTAACCAGCAATCCTTCCAAAATTTAATTTTATTTCCTTTACCAATCTGCCAAGCAAGATTGTTCATAATGTTTGTCCAAGCTTCAAGAATACCTTTCCAAGCACTTGATGTCGCACCCGAAAAAAATGCGACATGGACGGCGCGCGAGTGGAGGTCCCGGCCTTCGCAGCGTGAACCGGATTGAACGAGGAGTCGCCACCAAGATTTTGAGGAAAATCTTGGGAAACCGATTAATGGAAGATAAGGGTGGTCTGCGAAATCAGAAAATAGGTTCGGGAGTCGGTTGAGTGTGGGGAAGGTGTTAGGCACCCCATAACACCTGTTCATCAGAACGGTTACCTGAAGTTCGTTGTGCTTTTTTTTAATATGATTTTATAATTATTTTAATTATACCTTTTGTATTCATGTGTTTGATAAAAATGATAAGAATTAGGTGAGAAATATTTATTTATTTATGAGGGAGGATGGACTTGACTCAGGATCTGACTCTGAGGCCTACGTACCCTGTGATGGGATCAAAGTCCACGTAGTTCGGGCTTAAAAGTTTATTAGCGAAAATAGTTTTTTTGAAGAGAAATTAATTAGAAATAATTCACCATTTTGCAAATAAAACAATTTCTAAAATTTTGATATGTGTGTTTTGAATTGCAAAAGGTAATTTAATTTTAATTATTTTCTCCATTTTTAAATTTTTGGAATAAAGAAAGAAAAGAGTTTAAATTATTTTTTTTATTTTTTATGATTGAGAATTTTAATCGTAGTACCTGCAGAACCTTATTGACTCACACGGTAGCACGATTATCTTAAGGTCTATAGAGTTTTAAAAATCTCACATGATCAAAATATTTAATTAAAAAATGTGATTATAATTTAAATTTATTAATTTAATTAATTAATAAAACATTTATTATCTTATTTACAAAATTCATTTATTTATTTACCATATAAATTTTGAATCATGATATCTACGAGGATTTATTATCCTACACAATAATGTGATTAATTTAAGTCTCTATGAAGATTCTTGAAATCTCACATGAGACTTAAACATTTATTATAAAGAGAGAATTAATTTTAATAATGGGCCTTTGAAACCCATATAAATACATAGAAGATTGATCCTTATACTTGCAAAATCTTATTGATTTACACAATATGAAATCATTCTAAATGCCTACGGAGATTCTTAAAATCTCACATGACAAATAGATAACTAAAATATTTGTATTTACAGTCAGTGTATAATATTATGGTTGGCTAAACAATTCAAACAATAAAGGCAACGGAAAGAATAGAAAAATAAACTATTTTGACAATTCACTATTCTTTTGACTTGAGGATGTATTCTTCAAGATTTTCCAAATTGGCTTAATGCTCGAATATGGCTTTTGAAAGAAAATAATGAGAGTCGTGGTTATAGCATCTGACAATTAGAATAAACATGATTCACATATCATCACCATCATTAATCACCCAATTTATTTTCTGTGACAATCAAAATCAAGTTTGTGTCTTAAAATTATTTGTGGATAAACAATAGTCTCATATTAGACACATGCATATTCTTAATTTTCCCAAAATAATACGGTCATTTGAATGAATGAAGCAAGTATGCAAAATTTTTGAAAGAACTATAAAATTTTAAACAAGAAAGAGCTAAAAAAGATGACTATAAACAATGGAATAAGATTATACCTGACATTGCACATGATCCCACTCTTCTTGTACTCAAGATATAGATATTATAAAAAAAATTGATTGATGCATGTTTTTGTACCTTAATCAGATTCTTCAAGAGCTCATCGGATGACAAGTCGTTGTTCTTCTTTGGTGAGAGCTCCTTTCTTGATGCCAGGCTTGAGGCAGTTCTTCCACTGTTTGACATAAGCACAAAATAATGTGTCCTTCTCAGCTCTCCAACGTTGCCTCTCCTTCTTTTTAGGTGTGAATCCTACTGCTCATTTTCTCTAAAAACTTGGCAATAACTCGGCTCATCTCTGATGCATCTCCTGCTCTGTTTTTCTTTCCATTTTCTCGTCCAGTTTCTCTCTTCTCTTCCTCAGTCTCTCTCTTCTCATGTGTTGCTTCCTCTCTTTCCTCGTGTTCTTTCCTTCCTCTTACCTTCTCCTTGCCTGCTTCGCATATTCTTTCTTTCCACTCATAGTCTGTCTCTTTTTTCAGTTTTTGGATCAGTGCTCTGTTTTCTTTTTGTTTTTCCGTCCAGCTGTGTTGTGCTCCTCTCAATTTCTTCTCTTTCTTTTCTTCCGCGCCTCTCCTCTCCTGTTTTCCTCGTCTGTTCTTGGTCTCTCCAACCCATCTACACGATAATCACGATCACGAGAACTTCTTTCACGTCTATCATAGTCTGATTGTGACCGAGAGAGAGATGGGAGATGTGCGCCTGCATGCTCTGTTTCTGCATTCTCTATCAGTGTGCTCTTTTTCTTCCATTTTTCTCTCCTCCTTCCAGCAAAAATCTAGTCTCTCCCTCGTTCAGTTTTCTTTTCTCTTCTTCCTCCAGTGTCCTGCGTCTGTCGTAACGTCCCTCCTCTTTCCTTTTCCTCCTTTCTCGGACTCTTCCTTGGTCTCGCCTCTCTCTCACATTTATGGCTCTCTCTTTTTCGTCTCTCCTCCCTCTTCTCTCTCACTGAAATGTTCCTGTTTCTCCTTCTCTCCATGCTCTGTTTTTCTTTCATTTTCTGTCTTTGTCCCTTTCTTCTTCGTTCTCCCTCGGGCTCTCTCCTCTGTCTCTGTTTTTTGTTTTCAGTTTCTCCTCCCCCTGCTCTATTTTCTTGCTCTCTTTTTTTGCTCTCTCATTCCTCCATTTTCTATCATTTTTCGTGCTCTTTTCTTCTCCCTTTATTGCTCTACATTATTCATTTTCGTGTGGCTATGTGTTTTGCCTTTTTTACGTTTTTCTGTGCTCGTTTCAGCTGGCGTGTGGGTGCTGCGTTTGTGCTATGTTTCATCTCACTTTTTCCTTGCTATAACATTTGCTTTCTCTGCTATTTTTTCTACTCTGCATGCTGCATTTTTTGGTTCTGTTTCCTTTTTTCTGCTAGCCAAAAAAGTGTACGTATGTTGGTTGCTTGCTGCTCCTTCTGCACTTTTTTTTTGCTGTGCATGCATGTGTCTGGCTCAAAGTGTTTTCGTGTCTGTGTTTTAGTTTTTTTCTGGTCTGCATCTGGGCTTTTCTGCTTTGTGAAGCTTCTCATGCTCCGTACGTGCATGTCCAGCATTTTTTCCATTCTTTTTAATGCTTCTTTTTTAATTAGATTAAAGGAAGGAAAGGAAAATTTAATTTTAATATATATATATATATATATTTAAATGGAGAACAAAAAGATTTAAGGAGAGAAATTTAAAGATATCTAAGTCTAAAAAAAATGATTTTCAATATCTTTGAATGGTTGGGATAATTTGAGAGAGATTTTTAAAAAAAAAATTAAGAAATATTTTTTTAAAAAATATAATCCTAAAAAAGGATTAAATTTTATTTTTATATTTTTTATATTTTTTGATTATTTATTATTAAATTAAAAAAATGCCCGGACAAAATACAGTGTTCACACTTGACCTACTTTTTCAAGCTTTTATTTTTGGGATAACATGTTCCCCACATTTGTCTATAAAGAATCATGGTGGTGGATCAAACCCTAACCTAATTTTATCATAAAAGCCTTATTTTGTCTCCCAGCCATTCAAGCCTAAGGCCCTATCATCCTTTTTTTTTTTTTTGCACACATCATCACAAGCTATGAGATGGAGTTTTCTTTGTGAGTCAAATCCTTTTTCTTTGTGAATCAAATCCTCCCTAAAGAATTTATGGCACTTTTTATCTATCTCATTGCAAGTATTGGCAAGTAACGATGTAGATTGAATAGAGAAGGAGGGAATAGTAGCAACCATAAAAGAGAGTACTATATGTCTAGAAGCTAAAGATAAAGAATGAGCTTTCTAAGAAGGTAGATGACTATCCATCTTATTTAGCACATGTTGATATGTAAATTTAGTGACACTCTTATAGTTCAAGGGAATACTTAAATATTTACTAAGATCTATAATAGAAGTGAAATTCAAGAAGTTACTAATTTCATCTGCCTGTGTATGCCCCACATTCTTAGAAAAGAAAATTCTAGATTTAGAGCTATTTACCTTCTCATCAGAAACATTGCAGAAGTCTTCAAGGTAGGCCTTGATCATGCTTGCTTGGTCCATACTAGCCTCAATAAATATTAACAAATCATTCGCAAAGAAAAGATGTGAAATACCAACCCCATTTATTTTTAACCTAAAAGGCAACCAATTTTCATTCTCCACTTCACCTTGAATCATGTGTCCTAATTTCTCAATAACTAAAACAAAAAGATGTGGAGAAATAAGGTCTCTTTGTCTTAGTCCTTTAGAAATAAGGTCTCTCCCCATCCCATAAAACTTGCATTACGGCAATAGAAAGGCATTTAGAAATCAATTCAACAAACCTTGTAGGAATATTAAGTTCATTAAGGAATTGAATCACAAAGCTCTATTTAACTCTATCATAAGCCTTCACCAGGTCAATCTTTAATGCCATGAAGCCACACTTACCATTACACTTGTAAAAGGAGTGAATTATTTCTTGAGCCACATTGATGTTATCAGTATTCTACCTCCTAGCAACAAAGCTACATTGATTTGGGCAACAATCTTATTAATAATTACTTTCAACCCATTCATGAGAACTTTAGTTTTGACCTTATAAACAACATTACATAGGTCAATAGGCTGGAAATCTTTGTTGGTTTATATGTTTTGATGATTACAAAACTAAGAGAAGATGTATTTGTTATGTGTGCAGATATAAAGAAGTATGGATGAAGATAAAATCTCAAGAGCATGAAGAATCAAGAGAAGATGAAGATGTTTAAGATAAGTTATTTAAATTCCTTAGATTGAATGTGAAAACTTTGAGAGCTTAATTACTTTTCATAATCATTAAAATGAATGCATTATGTGTCTTATTTATATGCATTAAGACTCATCTAAATGTATTAAAATTTACAAATGATGTCTTTCTAGTGTGCTAAAAATCGTTATGGTTGAATTCAATATAGGCTGTAGAATTATGCATGATTATACTAATCACATATGAGAAACTACAAGTTGGGCACATTAACTGATGAATCACACAAGAGTCAAGAGGTGATTCACACATAATTTATCACTTTTGTTATGTGATTCCTTAAGCCTTGCTTCTGTATGCAAAATCACGTTAAGAGGCATTTTGATCAATGTAAGTTTTATCAATTGTGCTTTATTACATTATGTCAAAGTGTTATTTCACGCGTGATATCTAATTGTAGCCACGTGTGATTTGTCACTTGTTACACAATCACATATTGCTATGTTAAATCTTAAGTCATCTAAAGCCAAGTTCAATTTGTTCATTTGTATGATTTGTGATTCATAAATCTATATATCTTGATCATGCAAAATATTGCTTGAGTCATGTGCAGTTTCATAAATGAAAATGAACCCAAACTTGTTTGTGCATTATTGCTTGCTATTTCATGTGTGAGTGAACATGTGATCCATGTGTGATTTGTCCTCCTAAATAGAGTAAGTTTAAATATGGTTATTTGATAGGTGATAGCCTTTTGGTTCCACGTAAATTCTATCACTCAAATTTAAGCTTCACTTTTTGTAAGAAATTTCATGCGTGAGAGCATAATAGTTTCACGCGTGATTTGTCACACAAAACTGATGATGGTTTCTCATATGCAAAATTACACGTGAGAGTTGAAGGTTCACTTGCAAGTTTTGGCACATAGAACTGAATGCATATCATAGATGTAGAACGACACGTGAGAGCTCATGAAGTTTATGTGTGATTTATCACATATACATATTTAGAACAAGCTAAGTGCAATTTCACGTGTGATTCAATAGGTCACTCACAAGAAATTACACCAAGGAATTAAATCACTGTTCTAATGGTCTATCAACTACTAAAACTATATATGTGATTCATTTTGAGCCTGAACAAGAACTAATAATCTTTGAGAAAACTTATCTTTATTTGAGTATCTGAAAAGCTTTCAAATTATGCTTTAACATCTTATATTCATTCATTATTCTTGAAAATAATTGTGAAAAAGCTCTCATAAGCTCATAAGCTTTCAATTGTATTTTCATCTACTCTTCAAGAGAGTTTTTTGTGAAAGTTTATTTCATTCCTCAAAAATCTAAAAAAGATAATTTTTTTAATTGTTTGTAACAAGTTGTTAGATTATAGCAAGGTTTTTTTATTGATCCAAGACAAGTTAAGTCTTGTGAATTGTACTATGGTGACAAGAACCTATTGAAGCTTGTGAACTTAGTTGAAAATCTCAAGTGTGATCTTGAGGATTGAGCGTAGGCCAAGTTTGGGGGTTAAATCGGTATAAATCTTATGTGTCTCATCTTCTTCCTTTATACTAAAGTTTTTCACTCTTTTAAGTTTTCAAAAGTTTTTAATTGTCATGCAATTCATACCCCTCTTGGGTGCCAGCTTATCCTAACAATCCTTCATAGTCTTGGAATCTCAATTTTTAGAATTAACACAATATTGGTGTCATTTATATGATTCACTAACTCAAGTTTTTAGAAAATCTACTGTGTAGGAAGAAATATTGATCTGCCAACCACATCCCATTAGTGGTGAAATAATAGAGGATTTGAACCATTAAGCCCTAGGTGTAACATCTTAAAATTTTTAAGACCAGTATTTATTTTAAAATAAAATATTTATAATTAAATTAAAATTAAGAATAATTTGATAAAGGTTCAAAGTTCAAATTTTACTCAGCAAAAGTTTCATTTTATTTTATTTTTTACTATGAAAAAATTACCAAAGTTTATTCTAGCTTTTGTGTTATAATAAGAAATGTTGGCCCTTTCTTGTAATTTTTTCAAATTGCTAAAGTCAATTTTTTTAAAAGGAAATGCATGCAAAAACTAAATAGAAACAAAGGGAAAGGAAAAGAAACAAGAGAACAAAGAGAAAGAGAGCACGAGAGATGGTGGAGAAGAAAGGAAGGAAGAGAGGAAAGTTAGAGCTCAAATCTGGGAGGTTTTGCAGCTGTTGTGAGCTCGGTTACACAGTAAGTAAACTACTTGCTTCAATTCTTTTCCTTCCCTCTTGATTTTCTTCAATTTTTGGAAGAGGAAATTTCTGAATTTTGATCTCAAAGGCTTTATTCTTGTAAGCTTTGGTTTTTTTAGGTCCTTGAAAAATTATTTTGAGTTTTTATTTGGTGCTTTAATGTTTTAAGTAGGTAATTGGATGAAAAGGGGAGT